CCCTCAGGTCAAGAACACAGACCTCTCTCCTGGCATCCAATGCACTGACTGTTTTGCCACTGTCTCTCATACAACCCAGCCACAATTAAATGATGCACATTTTACCTGTAAACAAGAACACAGATGTTGTATTGGTGTTCTGAGTACCAAGACCTTGTGATCCACAGCTAAAAGAAGGTCCATGTGTATTGTATCGCAGATCAGCCTCTTCATCCGCGTAGCAACGGTAATAAGAACCATAATTCCTGATACCAATGCCTTGAAGGTTTTTTTTATTTTTTTTTTTATATGCCTTTGCTTCAGTAATGCACTGTTGGATAACATTTGTTCCCCTGACTGTACCAGGTAGGGTAACTCTAAAGATATGGTTTCCATTGTATGTTAGATAGCAGCCCAATGAATAAACACCTGAAAGAAGAAATGGAAAAATTAAAACCTGTCATATCAAATTCTTGTTAAATTCCTTTCTAGGGAATTTAGCCTGACACCCTTTCGAAATATTTCTTTTTCTAATTACTCAGCTGCCTCACATAAAGGTGAGGTACAGACACCTTTCTGAAACAGACATTTAGTGTCAGTCTTGAACATCTTTTTCTAAGAGAGTTTCAAGTCATGGTCACTCACCATCCGGGACACAATTTCCCCATTTACGATCTTTGTTATAATCACTTGTGGTAGCACACCAAAGGAGAGAGTGAGCTACGGCTGTACATTGGCTATAATTTCCGGTAAGATATCTGAATGGAAACACACAATCTGCACCATTGGAGTTACCACCAATAGTTTTTACTGAAAAAATAGAGAAAGAAACATTATTTAGACATGTATATAATTATTAATAAATACATATATATCTATATTGGAAGTCTGTGTTTTGATTTTTCTGTTGTACAATGCTTGATACCTAGAAGTAGAGCACAATAAATATTGAGATAGGGAAAAATTTTTAAGTAGTTTGAAAGTATTACTTCATTAACTCCCCAGATCTGTATCCATACTCCCTCTTTTCCCATTTGTTCCTTGGGAGATTCTGCCTCCAACAAGACTATTGGAAGTTCTAGATTCTTGCATTTGCACATTTTTTGAGCTTTATGTAGCATTGAAGTTGTTCTCATCAAATATTTTCAAACACTTTGGCCTTTTCTCAGGAGAATTTTTTCGGCATGCAAGTAATAAAATGACATTTGAGAAATTGTTATTTGAAGTTAAGCTACACCTCCTTACAAGCTGATACATCTTTCCACTACCAACCTGCTGTTAAAACCATTCTTACTGTCACTATAAACACAACCATTAACATAGGAAAATAGGGTTTAAAAGAAATCAGTTTATAGGTTTATTACTAACTAACAAAGTACAGTTGTGCTAAAACTGACTCAGTGCTCACCTTTATCGGATTTTGGTGTATGATCTTTGGCAGGTCCTGTGCTTTTGGTATCTGTAGCACCATGATACCACCTCCAATCAAAGTTATCAGTCTTATCCTGTTTATAATTGCAAACACTGGACTCAAAGTCACAATTTTGTGCAGAGGTTCCTTTAAGGAAGAAGAAAAAAGGAAACCATTTTTAAAGGTGTTCTGAATGAGCAAAGAACTTTATTTGCATGTCTGATAATGGTGATCAAAATCAACAAACTAGACATTAGGCACAATTTTTGCACAATGATTAAAGGCTAGCTGACATATAGGTTTCTTTCTTTGCATAAGTTGGCATGATAGGTAGGCTGGTCCTCACTCAAGAGTAATCACATTGTCATCTCTCTTTCCTAACCTGAAACATCTCCACTGTTCCAACTTTTTTTGCAATTGATCTTTTCATTATTTTGTGTTTACAAACAAATAACCTAGCATTTGGATAACACACAAGCCATAATGCCTGGCTTTGTTTCACCAGATAGCAATATTTGGTTGCTAGTAGTTGATTTGAAGAGATGTTACAAAAACCTAGCAAAGGAGTTTTGCCCTAATGCTTCTTTGGAAGATGAGCTGAGAAACTCATTTTGAGACAAGGAAGCAAGTTCACTCCAGAAATATTTTCAGAGTTTACAAGACTAATGAGCTATTTCTGAATTTTTCTTAAGTTATTTCAAGTCAGATCATGACCTACAGATAAATTAATTCAAAATGTTTTGAACATGCATATTCTTGGAAACAATGTCAACACTTGCGGTTACATATAAATTAAGCACGTTTATTATATTGGTGCCAGCGCCCGTGGGCAAGATGAAGCAAAACTAATGTTCGCATTAACTACGCAAGTAAGAAAATGCTTGGAGCGGACTTACAAAGTCCACAACTTTTGGTCAATGTCGGCGATGCAGTCGCAAAAAGCGGCAGAAGACAGTTAAGATAAAGAAAAAATAAACGACTTTCTGAGGGTTTATTGTGCTGCAAACACAGTAGGCTTTGTTTCCTAGCTCTGGAAATCGACCAGTCATTCTTGATTCGTATTAGAGCGAATTTATTTGGTATATAGTAAATCCTTTACTGACAAAGCTTGTTCGGTCAAGATGGCTAGATAGCAGCCTGATCATTCTTTTTCTACGGTTTTTGGACCTTGACTTCGTCTCGGTCCATAAAAACGCCAAAATAAATTCCGCCAGTATCAAGCCATCTTGACCTCACGCTTGATCAGTAACGAATATGTATTTCAGGCATTAACCCGCGTCTTGTTTCACCAATTCTTGAGGAACGCATTCTTTATATGTAAGCAGCACGTTAATGAAGAGGAACTTGGCTCGTTAGGAAAACGTAGCTCATTCACAAATAAACAACGAGTGCGTTCTGGAGATAACAAAAACCGCACGCACACCAGCGTTACACAGCCAATGAATTCTTGTCACGGTAACTGACTATTACTTTCAGTTCGATTTGTATCTTTCCAATTGGACGAAAAGCCACACACAAAAAAAACATGCAGGTAATCCAACCTAAGAACTCTGCGTTATCCTAAAGCGATTTTCAACACTTATCTAGAGCCTGAACCCGATCAAAGTAACCAGAAATTACCGAACAGGAACGATTGGGTTAACTCCTAATCAAAATTTTCATCCGCTTTAGATCAGCAATGAAGCTAAATGGAAATAACAAAGCCAGTTCCACTTGACTGTGTCACACAAGACCTTCTAACTATTAAGCTTACCGTCCTACTGAAGATATTTAAATGCGAAATTACTCCTTGAATACATTTTGGATCAAAGTGAAACTCGATTTGCGATCTGTACAGCTGTTTAACAAAACTCCCTACCCTCCCCCAGTAGAGCACATTCTCAAGCTGACTTCTATAGTTTGGGCGTGTTAGAGTTTGTTTTTCAAACACAACTCAGAAACTAGGAAAAAACTAAAAGAAACTTAATAATCCCTTCTTCTTAGTGAGATAAAAGCATATACAGATAACCTTTCGAACAATTCCAATTACTTATTTTGTTAGGGACCCTTTATGTATACCATTCGTAAGTTACTCGCTCGCAAAGAAAGCCTTTTGGAGCCGCTATTAAAGAAACAGTTTACATAAACGAGATACATTTACTTAAAAATAATCTCGTTGCGATTAATTTCACCCAAATAAGCAGTATTGTTTGTTTTCCGTTTGCCGACATTGTGTCAGACTCTGTGGGCTGTTTGACCTTAGGGGAAAAGTAGCAATGTGCTCGCGTAATTTGATTACCAACTTGTGTCTTTGTCGAAGTCTTTATTGAAAAAGAAGGAAAATTTTCGCTATGTTCACCTATAAACAAAACGGGTAAAGGTGGTAGGATTATAGGCCGTTAAATTTGAGCATGACAAATTCAAAGGAACATCCGACAGTATACTTGAAAACTGTGTAAGCTCGTACCATGCACGGAAAAGTTTTCAACTATCTTTGAACCGAAGAAAGCTTGTCGCGTTTCAAGATTAACTGGTTAAGCGAACGATCTGTTTTTTCCTGTCTTAACTTGTCTCTATAATACTTTCGAATTCTTAGCAATATTTTCGGCGTTATTTAAATAGATACTGATTTCAGTTAAATTGGTATTGATGTTGAAGTAGCTTGATAACAAAATTGTTTAAATGAAATTATTCCGATGATAAATTTTTAAAAAGCGCCGCGCCGACCGTTGTTCCAGTTCCTTATCGAACCATGGACATTTTACATACGTAGCTAATCGATTTTCCTATGTGTAAAACCAATTCCTCAAAATGTCCTTCCTAACTCAAAGAAAAAATAGATTTACTGTAGTTACTCACCTGATACGCACAACACAATGACCACGAGCAGAGTAGCTCGTTGCATTTTTGGAGAGCTCTAGGATGTTCGCCGATAATCCTCAACTTCCTCAAAGAATTGCAGCTTTTCCTAACAAATCAAAACGCTCAAGATTCCAGACCTACGAAAAGAATGTTCACAGTTAGCCAACATTTCCGTGGTAATGAAAGATGTGACAATATTAGCTTTATTATTCTTGAAAATATATTGAACGGAGCAAAAATAGACAACATGTGAACAACATTGGAAAACAGTACATTTGTGTATGGCACATGAAGTACCGAGCTCTGAGGGGGGCATTGGATTTTCAAGTGAGTCCTGAGTTCAGTATTTCCATCAAAAAATTCCGACGTAAATATTCAGCGAGATCTGAGATAGAGAAGTTAACTAATGACTGTGTGTTTCTACAAAATATTGAAGCAAGCTTGTCTGTATTGTAATCTTGATCATTTGAAAAGGGTTTATGGGTATTACATAAGCACCTATATAGGGCCACGCGATAAGAAACCAGTATTATTTTAAATATTGCTGAGCAGAATAAAGAGAACTTAGCCAAAAATAAGCAGCTTTTTTATTTTGATGACATACACAAAGTAATATCGATATTGTTGAGCTAAGGCAATAGTGGTTCTGAGAGAAAAAGTTTAGCGGAGCGCTGCGCTGCAATACGGAGCGAGGAGCAGACCTTTATACGGTACCAGGGGCAAGCTGGCGCGAAAAAAACAGATCAGCGACACGCTTTCTTTTCGAAGTCTGACACTTAAAACGGCACCCTTTCCGAGGTATATACATATTTCTACAGTTCACTCGGCAGTTTGAATCTATTTTATGCTCGTTAGAAGGAATTATCGAAGAGCGCAGTAACTAGGTCGCATTATCACACTTCCTCGAGATCTAATGTTGTGTTACGGATTAGCGCTGGAGCCCCAATAATATCTGCATAAACTGAACAACAGAGCAAACATATGAAACATGACAGCGACCAGTAGCCTAGCCATTCCGTAATTGAACGTGTGCGCAGAGATATACGAAAATTTTGTAAAGTTAGCACGATTGGAACGTTATTTGACGCTACCGCAACCTTCCCACCAACAGTATTATAAATTCGACCATCATCAATCGCGTCACCCAAGCGAATCACAAAGCGCGCAGTTGTTAAGCAAAGACGAATGAAAAAATGACACCTGAAAGTCCTACCTTCGTGATGTCCACAAGTCTTATTTGACTGTGCTACATGAACCACATGAAGGATTTCTTGTGTCAGCAGCAGGAGATGAGGGATATTTCAATCCCTTCCTTAGAGCAACGAGAGGCTGGTACGGAAGTCCTTTGAAACATCTCCAGACATTTAGTGACCGCAGATTACAATAGACGCCAATCATTCAATTAGTGAAATATTGAGCCAATCATATTAAATGAGAGGAGGTGCTGAAATTTTCTGTGTAAGGGAAGATGTGTTTTCATGTCACCTACTTCGCGGTTTACAGAGCCAGAATCTTTACGATCCACTCATTTCCTCATAAACCGGTTTAACTATTATTCTGCTTCTTATGGGAGGTTAAGAAACTTTTTTGTTTTTGTATATCTTGATTATTCAAAACAGACCGAATTCGATGCAGTTATGTATACACAAATGTCAAATAGCCTAATTTAATTCCATGGCTTGTAAGAGGCTCGATTTCCCAGAACAAGATAAGTTAAACTGGATCGTAATTAACAAGAGGAATGAGCGCGATTCGTTAGCATACTATTGATCGAATCTGTTAAGGTTAAAAGCTCAATGTAAATACGATCCACAACTGTTTGAAAGCTTCGATAACATTAATTCACGTGGGGGCGGCGTGGGGTTAAAGAAATGTGAGAACGAGAAAATTGGGAACTCAGATGACGGCAGCAAAAATGTAGAGAAGCAGCGAGGGGTCGGGAATGCCGTACACATCGAAGACACGTTGTCCCTCCTTAGGACTATTAAAACCCTTTGCATGGGCCAGAAGCAATAAGCATATCAAATATTTGGCGGTGCTTGCTGCCAATGCGATTTTTTTCTTCATTTTCCTTAGTTCTTAGTCAGTGCAAAGGCAAATCCTGACTGTAAAAAGGAATTTTGATTTAAGTTCTTGTTTGGGTTCTCTTTCAAATAAAGTATTTTTGTTATAAACTAATTTCTTTCAACTCTACGACTGAATTGGAAATGAGAAAAATTTTTTTAGAGCCAAGAAAATCACCCATAAACAGTCAGAAAAAGTTACGGGCACCTCCGAGAAGTTTTAGAAACGCATTTCTACTCATACTTTCGGTGTCTACCATGAACTTGTTTCATTTTCTAACGAGCAAGCAGCGAAATAAGGCCGCGACCTGTCTCAACATGTTAACTTTTACGGTCTTTGTTGCTGAGAGTTAAATTGAATTATGAAGTCTACTCACGTAGCTGAATCAATAAGGAAACAGGGAAACTAGATAGCTCTAATGGGCACGACAAACTAAGCATTACGTGGAGAACATTCCATATTTCCGTAGCAACGCGAGAGACCCTTGGAATTCTGAAGACGCAGGCACTTTTTGAGGAGATGTCGTCATGTTTCTTCAGTGTGCGATCTCGAAGGTTGTTCTGCATTTTTTTGTCAGTTTTTTTGAAGTGTGGCTGTCTGCGATTGGTGAGAGGTCGCGGTTATACGGTCCTGCACATTAAATCACAATAACTGTCCACTAGATTTCACATTCTTATATAAAAATATTTCTCAGCGACATGTAGCAAGAGAAAAGAGAGAATGAACATGTTGGTTGTGGAATCATTCTTCATTGTCACTGTTATTGTCAACGTCCTCATCAGTTGTCATTGCAACTGTCAATCGTCAATGTCATTAACGTTGTCATCGTCATTGTCACTACTGTTGTAATTGTATCTGGGAATCGTTTTATTGTTAATTCGCCATAAATACGGAAAATTTCTTGTAAAATGGTCCAACTTTACACTAGGCCAGAATCAGTAATCATAAAAGCTGCGTTGTATGGTCAGCTGAACTTCTTCTCTGCTTTTCGAGCCATAACGTGACGAAGCACAAAGAATGAGGAAGTCATAAACTGAAAACCGATAACCTGATTTCGGTTTCATTAATTCGATGATCGGAGATCACGAAATATCAGAAAGATGATAGCCTCCGCTGCAGCCGTTAATATTGGTCTCGTCACGTGAAGCGCTACTTTCTTTGTTCTAGTCCCTCCCCAAACCAATGACAACTGACCGCAAGATGACGCAATTTGATTATTCCATTTCACTTGTGCCGAGAGATTATCAACTGTTGACATTCTCTAGCACCTGTATTAAGTAGAGCCATATTAAGCTGTCACCCTGTATAAAGCGGTCAGCTGTCAAAGTCACGAATTTGTTTCAACTAAATCACTGTAATTTTCACCTCTATAAAGCGGTCGAGGTCAACGTGACCACTCAAATAAAACTAAGTATAATCTTCCAAGTAGTTTTTTATCTATGTTTTTCTCCCAAAATGAAAGTAACTTACATTTTGAGCGAGATTCTGTACAAGACCTGGTCAATTATGGTATAAAGTGGCGTTGTTTATCGTTTTCTCTTTAATAATACCCCCAATCTGTGGAACCTGTATTAAGTGGTCAACCTGTATGAAGCGGTAACCCCGCCATTCCCCGAGCGCATAGAGACGATGGGACATATGTCCCACCGAGAATTGAGCTATCACTAATTCAAGGTCTAAAACGGCCCTTTTTGACCTTTTTGGCTTTACAGAGACATAACGATCTCAGTTTTTCGACTGCAATCTCGGTTACCGGGCTAAGAATTTCCCCAAGACCTGCACCTCAGCTTGCTTTCCAAAACAATCATGAAAATTAGGACGCTGCGACTTGTACGTCGATCCCCGTAACGAGCTGGAATCTTCCACAAATCAAGCTAAAACTTTTTTATGTGACAAGAAGACAACAATTCTTCCCGTTTATTCAGGTAAAAGGGCTACATAACTCTCGTGACCTCACACTACTACAACGTGATATCCCTCGAAATGCGTTCACGTTTTAATGTCGAAACAGCTTTTAAAAAGCTTTTCAAATCCGTGGTTGTACGTGTGCCCGGCATCAGCTTCCTATTTCACGCAAGGAAGTGGCTAGATGAAGATGGTACATTTTCTCACGCGCTTACGAGAAAGGCCAACTAAGCCTTCCAAAACTTCTGCGCATGTGAAATTTATGGATAATGGTATTTCCTAAAGCTCATATGTCGCCAAGCATGTCGTTTTCAGTAAATAAGCGCTATTGACCAGTCGTGATAGCTGGATCTGGTCAATTTTAACGTCTGAGACGAATTCCTCAACAACAATACATTCATCGAAGCCTCACGCAACCCGCAATTAGTAATGGCTATTTATATACTAAAAAGGAAATATAGGAGGAAAATTGACCTGTTCCTGTATTGCTGAGAGGGGTTCATACATCCAGGAGATAATGATAGGATTACGGAAGTACTTCAGCTATTAAACCCCAAGAGTAGGGTCTGCTCCTACGTAGGTTGGATTTTGGGTAATGATATTGTCGCGCAAATGTTGTTATTTTACAAAGGTTGAAAAGAAAAAAGATGAAAATGAAGAAAATCATATCGTGATCTCATTTCTGCTACAAGAGCAGTGACAAGGGAACCTGGGATGTTCTTCGTTTCTTTCCCAGACACACGACAAAAACGAGAAAAACATTCGTGATTTGAAAATCAACTTCTCAAAACTTACGATCCTTTTTATTCTATTGACACGCTCGACGTTTTCAACATTGCAGATCATAAAAGCATCGGAGCGCGAAAGCCACAGATCTAAATATCAATTCCTCTTTGGAGACTAGAATTTTACCTTTGTCCAGTGCCCATGACAATATCGAGAATATTTCTTTATTCATAAACCGAGCTCAAAAATTACCATTTTTCTTATTCTAGCTTACCAAGAGATTATAATCTGTTGATTTTACCTTGCAATGGACCTTCGTGAAGATCAACCAAGACAAAGTCTGAAATATAAACAGTTTCTGAGCAAAAGAACTTCAGAGATACGGGTAGTTTCTCCTTTCATATCCAAAATAAACATTTTTTAGTGTACCGGTCGAGTCCAAATTTAACACATGAATCAGGAAGCCGGCATGAAAAGTTTTGTAGTCAAGAACTCGATCGATATTAAGCCAAAGACCGCAGTTGAAAATGCGATCATCATGCATCGCACAGACAAATCGAATCAGTCGACGGATGAAGATTGGCTCATCGTTGGAGAGATTACGGTCTTAGAGACTTTTATGGCACAGAAGAAGATTTAGGGAACGCTTACCGCGGATTTGGTGCGACTTCCGCAATTAAAGAAGCCGAAGAGAACCGTTAAGTGTTCACTCCTGAACCATGTGGAACGTTTGATGGGCATGTCATTTCATTCAGCTTAGGAGCAGAATGTGCGATCTTTCAGACATGATTTCCTATCGGACCGAAAACCGAAAGTCAATACTTGTGTATTTGACATGCTTTCAACGACTCACAAAACGGCTTAGGTTTACATAAACACTTGAGAAGAGCTAATACAAGAACTCGAAAATGTAAATAGAATCGGAAAGATAGAACGTTTATTTTGAATCAAGTATCCTCTCAGCTGACTACAAAAGATATCTAAGGCTGCGACTCGATTTCACTCTGGAGCGTAAACCAAAAGTCAATACTTGTGTATTTAACATGCTCTCAGCGACTTAGAAAACGACTTAGGCCTTTCGTTAATACTTGACAAGAGCTGCTTTAATTAAGAACTTGCAAATGTAAATAGAACTAGTAAGATAACAGGTTTATTTCGAATCAAGAATCTTCACAAATGATCACAAAAGACATCTAAGGTTGCGGTGATTTTGGCAAAATATGTCACAACTATTCGTGTTTGGCTCGAAATTATGCTTGTGCCTTGAGGCTTGCCCCACTTAGGGAGCAGGATGTAGTTGGCACCTTTATCAATCTTCCTATCGTAGAAAATACCTTCTCAAAGCGGAGAGTGCTGTATGAATACTCGAAATAACGGAAACCCAAGTGTTTTTCCCGTCCATTTTTTTAACTTTTGCTTTAGATTTAACAAAACGTCAACGTACTTTTCAAGCGACTAAGTTTCTTTGATGATGGTGTTCATGAGCGACCCGGAGATGCAGAAAATACAGATACTATTAACAGATCGCTGTATTAGTTTTATTATTCATCTCAAGAGATGAGATTATATCCTCTTGTTTCTATCTGACATCGAAGAATGGGCAAGCTACGATAATG